AGTCCTGTTTATACCCTTTTGGTCACATTGTGGTATACTTCTTCTCGAAATATTTATTTGTCGAATATAATTATAAGATTTATAATAAGAAACTGTTAGTTATAGTTAAATCATTAAAAAAATAGCAACTAGAATTCTAAGGAATCTAGTAAGAATTCGAAGTTTTGATAGATTATAAGAATCTAGAATACTTTATAATAATTAAAGCTTTCAATCAATAGCAAATCTACTAATCAAAATTCTTTTTTTAGTATAAATTTTGTATTATCTATTAACCAGAATCTAAAACAATATATTCTGATACTCTTAATTATTGCCGTAAGAATAGATCAATCTTTTCTAATCCGGATAATAAACAATTAAAAAACAGAGAATATATAATACTATTAATAACAAAATTTAATAATAAATTATATAGAGACTTGACTGAAAATATAATTCTAATATTAATTAATCTAACTATACTTTTGAAAAATATTCCAATCAATAATTTGATTACGATAATTTATAACAAATCAGAAATAATAAAACAATTCAAAACTATAATAGAAAATCTGTTGGCTACAAAATAATTAAAGGAATTTAAAAAGATCTTACAGATAGTATTATAGGATTGCTAAGTATATAACAAAAAGATTTATTATTATAAAAAACTATAGATTCCCCCCAGATAATAAACTAAAAGTTTAGATTATATATCGTATATATTTTCAGGTTCTAGGGGATATCTAGACAAAACGAAAACAATTGATTTGATTTTCTGAAACTATTAGTAATCTCAAATATGTTACAAAATCACTACTTATATTCAAGTATACAAACTCTATATTCGAATTAAATCATTTAAATCTACGTCTCTAAGATTTTTAAAACTATTATTAGTATTATTCTATGTTTAGTCTGATATATCTATTAATTATATTACACTACTTCCAGACTGCAAATATTATAATTCAACATTCAAACACATCCTAATAATGATTTGCAGATTGACCAAAATGTATCATTTCATTGGAATAAAATCCTTGAATACAAATGAACTAGTCGATGCTTTTATTTTCTGTGTCTATACTCTATATAGTCTTCCAGATAATATAATCTCGGATTGGGGGACACAATTTGTATCAGGGTTTTGGATTCAATTTTTGGAATGTTTAGAAGTAACCCTCAAACACTCTTCTACCTTTTATCCATAAACAGATAAAAAAACAGAATGTATAAATTCGATTCTAGAATAGTATCTACATGCTTTCATCAATTTCTATTAAGACGATTGAATGGAATGGTTATTCTTTGCCGAATTTGTTTCTAATAACATTATATCAAAAACCACTAATTGTTTATCTTTTTTTACAAATTATAGATTCAACTCATAATTGGATATTAGATCTAGTAAACCTTATCCTCTAAATATAATAATAATACAGAAACAGGAATTCTTCAAAGAAAACAAGATAGCCAATCAGATGGAGAGGATATTAAAACAATTCAAGGTTTTTGTAAATCAGGCAATTATTATATTCGAGGAATATACAAATCAATATTGTTCGGATTCTCTATAGTATATAGTTAGACAACAAGTTTATATTAATACAAAGAATATGAAAACCTTCTGGAAAGCTAAGAAGTTAAATAACAAATAGATTGGACTATTTATAATCGAAAAAGTATACCCCCGTTTTTATTTAATCAAATTATTTGAAAACATATGAATTTTCCTAGTATTTCATTATTCGTTATTAATCCTTGTTTATTAAAAGTCTCACTTCCTTGGCCAAAAAAAGATTAACAAATCAGAATCCTGAATCATTTATAATAAAGTTTTCGAATATAATGATAAAGAAATAGAAACTATTCAGAAGTGGGTCTTTAAAGAAGTTCTTGATAATCACAATAAAGATAATTATTATTATTTAGTAAAGTAAAGATATTATACTCCAACCTAACAACCAGTATCCAATTTGAAAAAAAAAAACAAAAAGCTTTTGACGAAATATTATATATTGCATCTGAAAAAGCCTAGCCTACTCATCTGAATCCTTCAGAACTTTATTGTGAAGGGATTTTTTATCCCAGCAAAAGTATCAATTGTATAAGTATTATTGCCTGCCAAACCTAGGCTACAATGTTTTACTAGGGAAAGAAAACTATAAATCAACAATATCGAGTTAAAGAAAAGCGTTCGATTCAATAACTACGTTTATATAGTAATCTTTGATAAGTACGGTTTTGATAATGGACAATGAATAAAACAGAAGAATTAGGATATACAATAATAATAGTTTGATATAATTTATTACAGGAAATAGGGGACTTTATATTATTTATTACATTGTACACTTGTTTGAGAACAAACAAGGTTTGAAGAGAAAAGATACTGTTACAGGTTCACTACCCATTCCTAACTACATCTACCTACATCTACCTATACCTATCATGTGTACACTACCCGTTCTTAGTTAACTTGGGCGAATGACTTAGGCATCCACCCACCATATAGTCGGCGTTGCTCTGCGTGCCTCCTTCTCTCCTTGTCGAATATCATACATCTTACCTAGTACCCACCAGAACCCGTACCAGCCCCGTGATAAGTACAGTCTATCACATGCACAAACAAACCAATCATAAAAACCAACTCATCTGACAACCTGCTACCTACTACCTACAACCTACAATTCATCCTATCCCACAGCCCACACAACACAACACACCACACTACAACACAGACCCCAACCCCAAGCTAAGCCAAGCTTTCATACCTCCAGCTACCTCTTCAGCTCTCCAATTCTCCAACTTCCCGCTATCTACTCCACACACGCCTACACACACACATTATAAACTCAATAATCACCTCACAGCTTTGCGAGATACATTTCGTACGTTGCAGACTTATTATACATACACTTGTGATCTCACATCCAATCTCAATCTCAATCTCAATCTCACATCTAATCTTATATTTAGAAGATAACTGGAGAACTAGAGATACACACACAGTACACCCACGCACTAACCGGCTAACTGGGATGTGATATAATATAACGTGATGGAATGAGACAATGAGAGGTGAGCTAGTGAAATTATAATAAGTACCGCACACTTAGCGATTCGTGACAAATATCCCCGCAAAAACAACGTTTCCCCATACAAGTTTCAAAATCCAACAACTTTTATAATATAGAACATATCTTTTTGGAACTTTTCCATATTACTAATTACTATCACCAATATTCAAAAAAAACAATCCAAAATAATTTTACTAATTTTATCAATTTTATTAAATTAAAAAAAACCACTACAACTTTTGAAATTCCCAGACTTTTACAAATATAACGTTTTTCTTACAATCTGACACAATAAATACTTTTGAAAATTTCTTTATTGATAATATCAACTTCTATTCCATCACAGACTGTTCAGTTCGGTCTACTGATATCACATATAGGCCAGCCATATATATCTACTCTAGATAATATAATCATATTCCTTTTTACCTTTATCTTCCTTTCATAGCCTAGTGTAGAGCTTTCTTCTTTCAAATCATAGCCAGCATTATACAATATCCACTGCCATCTATCTTCATTTCTTTTACTCCCTCTGAACACCTAGTTTCTACATGTCCCAAAACTATATGTAATCATTCTTCCAAGGCTATCTAGATATTTACTCATACGAGTACATAGCTCTTCACTTGTATATAGATTCTAAGTACAGAATTAGAGTCCTGTATACTCAGTACACCCCGGACCTTTTGGTTATAATTTCAAATAACCAATTATAACCCCTGATACAAATTTACTAAAACCATTTGATTCTAGATTCTATTTTTCAAAAACTTTTGAGTAATTCCTACTCCAATTCATTATACTCGTACAGATATATAATCCTAAAAACCTACATCAATGTCTCAAACTCTTTTGATAAAGTTCCAAAAATGAGTAAATGATAGTTTTTGGTGTGAAATCGCCAAGTGTGCGGTGAGTGATACTGTAGCTCCATCTCTTACTGTATATAAGATATAACTGTATGATTATGTGACTGTATGACTTTATAACCGTATAACCGTATAACTATATAAGAAGTGAGATAGGCTACTTATTAGATCTGGTTATTATTAATTACTCGTACATATATGCAGTATATACTCGAGTAACTTATATTATGTAAGATTTGTGTGTATAAAATAGATAGAGTGAACTAGCTACCAGCAACCAAGTGAGGTATTTACTTACCTAGGTAGGTAAAAGTAAAAGACGTAAAACGTATGCGTATGAGAATAGCAAGTGGATATTTTATAGAGGGAAAATGAACAAACAAGGAAATAAGAAAAACGATAAGTGTATGAATCGAGAGAACTTATGTATTTATCGTATTGCTTTTGTAAGATTAGTACAATGTATATATGGTGAAACATTTGCGTTTATTGTATACACTATGTACGAGTATGTATGATATGATTCAACTTTGAATATAGAGCGACCGACCAACTTCATACACATATATCAATATCTATACCCACATCTCAAGTACCTGTATGAACAATCATCCCCCTTTGTACACCTCCATCCGATTCTCCGAATTATAATCACAAGCTCTTCCTATTCTTAAGACTGGCCCAATGCGTCCTCATAGCCTTCAGCAACGCCCAAGCCAACAACCTATAAACCAGTGTACAAATGCCCAACGCCACGATATTCCATAGCGGATTGTCATTTAAATCATACAACTCTAGTGCTTCTACCCCCGTGCTAATCGGACAATTGCCATTTGGTAACCTCTGCGCATCTGTGCATGTGAACTCGATACTTCTTAATGTGTAGGGTGCAAGATTACGGATCGCATAGCGGATGGGAGAGAGGTAGTTTACACCTTGGAGAAAGGCGGGCATGTTGATGGAGAGGATACCAGACATGAATTGGGCGATGGAGAGAAAGACGCTGGTGAGGTTTACGGCGAAGCCAGTGTGGGAGAATAGGGTATTGAACTAGGTGGTTGTGTTAGTGCCTTCGTTGAAGGGTTGGTAGTGAGTAAGGGGGATGACATACCATAATACCTAGACTCTCTCCACAATTAACAATACAAAAGCAATTAAAGAAGCATACGAAGAAAACTTGTGCGTTTCTAGGCAGCCCAGCAGCCAAATCCGTCAATATCGCGAAGATCAACGAAGTGAAAATCTCAAAGGGGATCTCCAGTGTAGTATATTGTGCGAAAAAGGCTTCGACACTGTAAATGCCATCATCGTTTTCTCGGTAAAACACATCCTTCTCATTAGGGTAAACTGCAACATTTTGCAACATGCCAACGAAATAGAATGCGCAAAACTCCTGAATGAATCCTAATCGGTTTTGTACAGAATAAAAGTCGTGTTTCAAGGGTGCGAAGAACAAAGCGAGGATGATAGCGAGACCCAAAACTTGCATGGTCCTCGCCATAAGTAAGTCGGGCTGTCGGCGAAAGTTTATCGACGCTCGATGAACGAGAATGGGATATGCAGAGAAGAAGCCAGATGTTTTGCGAACTAAAGATCCAAGTTCCGCAGGAGTAGATATTGCAGTGGGAATAATGGCTTTCGCAAAATTTCCAGAGGACCAGGAATTAATCAAATCTCTCACTTTGGTCCTAGTGGCTTCTTCCCGACTAGATTTCTGTAGATCGATGGTGATAAGATCAAGTGCAAAATCGGCTGGATTTGTTGTTGTAGGGCACGGATAGCCCAGCATATCGAAATGAGAAATCATATCAGAGCCTCTGCCAGCATAGACTGGAAATCCTTCACGCGCCAGTAAAAGAACACTCCCAAAATGTCTAAAAGTGTCCGAGCGAGATTGATGTATTGTAAGTATCAAAGTACGGCCTTCTTGGGCAAGGCCTTGAAGCACTTCCATGATCGATGAAGCGGTGAAAGCATCTAGGCCAGAAGTTGGTTCGTCCAGGAGAAGAACCTAGGTGAATGAGTTAGAAACTATGGCACTTGAAACAGTATAACAAACGAACGCTGGACGATAGGGTTTATATGAATTTCTATTAAACTTACCCTTGGATCAGTCAAAATTTGAACTGCAATGGTCACTCTTCGCTTTTCGCCTCCTGATATACCTTTGATAAGGTCTGAGCCGATAAGATTATCCGCACAGTCTTTCAGGCCCATCTTCAGGAGAGCGTCCTCAGCACGTCGAGTTTTCTGTTCCTTAGTCATGAATGATGGAAGTCGTAGTCCAGCTGCAAAATGAAGGGTTTCCCTGACGGTCAAGGAAGGCAAGAGTGCATCATCATCTTGACAAACATAGCAACATACAGATCGTATGACTGAATCCGAAGGCACTGCACCGTTAAAAGTCATATCTCCACTTGGTCGATACTTTGTTCCAATGGAGTTACGTAATCGCAATGCCATCGCATTGAGAAGAGATGTTTTACCACTGCCTGATGGTCCCATGATGACATTTAGCACTCCAGCTTGGAAAGTTGCCGTGACTGGATTTAATATGGTTTTGGTGGGCTGTCTTCTCCCAAGGGAATTTCGTTTCTCTAAATCTAGCGCAAATTTATCAAGGCCAATATCAACCTATAATGATTAGCTACAATCCGCCGTTAGGTACAATAGTCCCTCGCGTCGTACTCCCACCAATCCAATGACAAAGGGCTGACCATGGACCATATTACGAAAAAGTAATGAGCTATACACTTACAGTTCTAACCTCCGCCGCAGACCTTACTGTCATCTTCTCTTTCCCAGCAGAGAAGTCCGCATCCGAACCTCTTGCTCTTGCAATTGTCATTTCGACTTTGATAAATCGCAAACCAATGCCCGCAAGAATGTAAAACATGATGGAATAGCAGAGTAGAAAAATGATTGGCCTAACAATCCAATTATCTGGAAATCCCAAAGAATCTATTACAAATGCGCCAGTGTATTCAACACATTGCGGATTTGACTCTCCACCTTCGTAGGGGCAGTCATAGAATTGACCTACGAACTCATTTGAACACAAAGCTCCAAAGGCATAGAAGACGTAAGCTGTCCACTTCAGCCAACGCACGTAGACTGGTATGGAGTTACTTTGAATAAAGAAGCCACAAGCAAAACTCTGAACTGTGTAACCCATATTTGCAATGAGAGATGCACCAGGAAAGTTTCTTGAAGCTGCTATGCACGTCATGGCAAAAGTGACTGCGATATATTGACAGAGCAGCACAATGGCAAAAAAGGTAAGGAACGTCGAACCGTCTGATCTGAAACCTGCCATCCAATAGAATATGAGTGAGTAGATCAGCGGAACCGGAAAATCTTCAGTAAAGAACCTCGCAATCCTTCTACTTAACAAAAAAGGGATTACATCAACCACATTCTCATTATTCTCGCGATCAAAAAGCTGTATGTCGATCGTCAGGCGATATGTCTCGAACAAAAGCATGAGATACCCTTGCAACGCCGCAGCATTATAGAGTGCTCCCTCACGACTGCGAATACCAGAAAGATCCTCTCGCAGGTTGAAGAACACCCAGCCGCTCATGATTCCCATTCCAATTGCTTCTACAAGAGATCCAAACATGCCCATAGGGTCGCGATAAGTTGTGACAAAGGTTCGAGAAGTCAACACACGAGTCTGACGGATGAAGGGAGAGTGCCGTATCCATTTTTTTGATCTAAGATTCTGTGTATTTGGCATCACAGTTGATGTATCTTTCTCACTGTCTTGAACGAACCTTCTAACATTCTCTTCTGCCCAGGCAAGTTTCAAACTCTCAACCCTTGCAAACGAGACTCTCTCGAGTTCAGGTGAGCGATTGTCAATAGCTGCGATATCAATTAAGAACTCCGCAGGATTAACGAATGGTGGGAGCTCCATTCCAATGCCTTTGAACCAAGGCAAGCAGTCAGCAGCTTTGCCAGAATACACCGGACTGCCTCTGGTCAAGATTACTAGGCCGTCAAACATCCCCCATATTTCCGATCTAGGCTGATGGATTGTCGTGACAATCGTGCGACCTCTCCTGGTCAAGCCTTTGAGAGTTCTGACTAATTGAAATGCACTAGTAGCATCGAGCCCAGTTGTCGGTTCATCCAAAAATAAGACACTTGGGTTACTCAATAGTTGTACGCCAATGCTGGTTCTTCTCTTTTCGCCTCCAGAACATCCCTTGTGTTGAGTACTTCCAATTCGTGTGTCGGCGCATTCCTTCAAGCCAAGCTCCAGAATTACCTCATCCACAACCTTCCGTCTCTCTTCTTCAGTTGTTGGTGGCGGCAGTCGTAGATCTGCGGCATAACTTAAAGTTTCTCGAACTGTCAAACTCGATAGTAATACATCTTGCTGCATAACATACGCGCTTCGAATACTGTGCACATCTTCCATGCCATTGAAAGTTGTAGTTCCACCAATCGTCAATCGACTACTCATCATTCGCTCAGCCATTGTATTCAACATGGTTGTCTTCCCCGAACCACTGCCACCAATAATTGCAGTAAGTGTACCGACCGGCATCGAGGCAGATACTGAGTGCAGTATTCGTTTTGTGGTGGGTGTGGCGACTTCATCTTGGGCTCTCTTTCGTGGTATCAATCGTTCTATTGAAAATGCTGAAGGAGAGATATCGACGCTGACAGATAGATTTCGTATCTGAACATCCACTGGTTCCACCGCAGATAAAGAGAAGGTATTACTCTGGGTAGTTGTGATGGCTTGGAGATCTGTCGTATCATGCTCGTTTGTTGCTGTTAAGCCTAATGGTTGCGACCGTATGGACAACGATGATTCGACCATTGTTCCATGAGTTTCGCGCTCAAACTTTGACTCTATGTGTAAGTTTTTCCGACAGTCTCATCTTCTGTCTATTTCTGTTGCTAATTGCTGGTCGATGAGGTTGATATGAGATTTCAAAATTCTTCCTACTGTCAAAGAGTAATATAGCCTAATAGGAATCTCACCGACCGGTTTCACAGTTTTCGAGTCGCGTGCGACATTATTGCTCTAATTAAGAAGATAAAATGAGATATACTTAGGCGTGTATTTGAGTTGAATATGAATCCTTCGCGATGGGACATCGACATTGCATAGGTATGCGGATTGTTCATTTCCGTTTATTTGCTTTTTACTTAGGTGCGTGCCTACATAATGTAATCCTTACGGGGATTAAAATAGGGTTTTTAGCGTACCTCGGCTGCCAAGCGACGACTGTTTGCGGTAACGTTAAGGCGTTGAAACGCCTGTCAAACCCCAATATAACTAACGTGTTCTCCGCAATCCACAGGTTCCACTAGATGTCTTAAATCAAAATTGCAATGGAATCATATATGGGCAAGGAGCCTTGTTGACGGTATTTTAAAGTTCTTCAAGCAGTTGAATCAGAAACAGCATCAAAGCTGGATATCACCAGAACGAACTCCGGCAAAACAATACAAATGCATTAAGGTCGGATGCAACAAAAGGTATACACAGCCAGAGCATCTTAAGGTATTTAACATCAAACCCGTCTCTCAATATGGAAGATCCTGACTACAGGCACCGCCAATGTTGTGAGCACAAGAAAGTAGTAAAATACGAATGTAAATACTGCGACAAAAAAATACAAAAGACAAGGCAATCTCTATGTATTACTTTAATCTTCTTCCTATAGTTCTACTTCCTCCGATGCGCGCATCTTTGGCTAATAGATTGTGTTTTAATAGTGTCATGAAAGTTTTCATGTGTCCGATGAAAAGTCATTTGCCAACAAACACATTTCCGAGGATCAGCAAGCACAACCATATCAGTGTATTACCATCTTGTGCAGTGAGGTTTGCGCTCAAGAAAGATCTTATAGTAGAGTGGCATTTTATTATCTTCTGCTCACAGACCATAAGCCTTGGTCACGAAGATGACAGACGTCTTACTGGGTGTTATTAGGTCCACGGATTTTAACACGCTAAATCTGATTGTGAAAAATTATATGCATGTAGTACATGCGGTGATAGTTTCGCAAAGGAAGCTGGTTTCTGTGTATGGTTTCTCTAGTTCCCTATGTTGTTCCTAGTTGCACGTGAAATATCATACTTTTGGCACTACTAGAACACGGTTATGGGGACCGTTATAACTCCTTCAAATAAGGTGAGTCATTGCTTTGACATACTCTCCGTATTTAATCTTGGATGCTAATTGCGAGAGTCACAAGCGCGTAACCGCATCTTGAACTCTCCTTCGGATGACGCTTTTTCCCAGAATGATTCTTCGGAAATTGATTCCTCTCGAGATCGTTGTTGGTCACTTATGAATTTTGATGTTGATGGTTTACTCATGCCTGACGACATGTACTACGACACTTTTTCTCTACCTAGTCCTCCAATCGACTTAGTCCCAGAGGCACAGACAAAGTCAACCTCATCCAGGTCAGAAGCACAGACACTAATTAACACTGGCGTCTCAAAGCCCAAGATTGAATCGAAGGTCAACAGAAAAAATACTAAGAGATCCAGTTCCCCTGATGATTCGGTGACTAAAGATCAGGATAGTGAGTAGGTGTAAATATCTAGTTCTGATATGTTTGGAAGTAAAATTCAAAAGGTAACTTAGAGCTCTCAAGGTCTAGATGGATGTATCAACAAGGGTTAATATGGAGTTAAGATGTGGAAAACAGATTCATTAGAATGATGATTTAATTTCTTTGCGCTTCTAACTTTTTTCCTGAAAAGGAATATGGTATATTGGATAATCGAAAAATTATTAGGTGTGTTCAGCTATACTTGGTTCAAGACTATGGTTCGGATTATTAGTCCTAGTATAATCTTGACTCTGATCTCATACAACCAATAAAATGATATATGATCGAGTACACTAGCATCAACTATTTGAGATCAATAGATTGCATAAGATATAACCCTTCCATATACATCCACACTAGAACCTACACCAGGCCTAGTACTCAGGCTTCGCTCTTCACTATTCACACTTCGCTCTTCATTATCATCGCTCACTACCTATCACCTAACCAGCGAAATCTCGCTTATATTCTTTCGTTGCACAACCACAACCTTAATCTTCTAACAAAACAATAAAACATCTAATCAAATAATCTCAACTTCAAGTAACACCATTTCCAAACTAAAAATCTTCACCATCACCTCCGAATCTAGCTTTATACTATTACTCCAAATACTCTTGTCACACATCTGCAAAGAGATCAAAGTCCCTGCTCATCCAATCATACGCTATCTTCCTTACTTTCATTCACTCTCTTGTTCAATTCGCCTATTCAACTCGTTTATACTATACTATACCTTTTTGTTGCATATCTACAAAGTTGTATATTAGATATTGGCTATTTACCTAATACTAATAAATATCAATTATCCTTTCAAAATAAAAAATATCATCTTATACCTATCCCTCTGAACCTCAAACTATTGACCCTATTATCTCTATTAAACTTATACAGCCACAACAAGGCTATAAATCCTTTGGATCCAATCTCTCGTTTAGATACACCAATTAGTCTCGCTAAAAGACGGATTCGATTATTGCCGAATAGTCTAACTTCATGAGCAAATAACCAATCATCATATATCTAAATCTAGGAAACCCTAACAACCCTCCCTCCACTTGTCAGTCCCACTGGCAGTCAAACCCAAACCCAGATTCCTATTATTCAAGTTCTCACTCTAATATACACTACAAACAGAAACTACCCCCTACAACTACAACTACAAAAAAGCATAACCATAGCCATATCCCTATCCCCATAGCAACTCATCACCGACAACCCAACATAACCGAAATGAAAACACATGCCAGTATTCAAATAATTCACTCACTCTTCCACCTATCTATCATTCCATGCCATAACCATCTCATCCAATATCATCCAATCTCCCCAACTAGATAAAGAGTGAATATTCAACTAACACAACATTTTGTTGCATATCTAAGATTCGAGGTGTATTGCGCTCATTCAATTATTGGTTGGTTTTCAGAAGGAAAACAATTCAGATATACAAAAACAGAGAGATATTCACTTTGAAATCAAACCAAACCGAACTGTGACCGTGACCGTGACAAGATTAGATCATATATTTCGATTTGAAGATGCTTTTGCTATATATCCACTATATATATATTTACTCTCATTATTTAGTTTATTTCATTGTATCTCACTTTATGTTATCCCATCTATTAAAGTACAAATATCTCTCTCTCTCTATCTCATCTCATCTAATCTCCTTCCTATCCTATCATATTTCCCTCTCCATCTCTCCCCCCAAACCCCTTCTAGTCTCCCCACCCACTCCACCACCTCCCATTCCCCCCTCACCTCCGGAACTTCTACACCACACCACACCCCACACCACAACCAACAAAACTCCATCTACATCTAGATCACCTTCTCATTTCTCATTTCTCATTTCTCATTTCTCATTTCTCATTTCTCATTTTTACATTTACAATCACACCCACATTCACAATTCTATATCTTTTCCTTTCCTTCTTTTTCCTTCTTTTCCTTTCTTTCATTCAATCTTTCATTCATTCATTCCTTCTATTCCCTCCAAAAATCCGAAATTATCAATCATACCTCCGATCTAAAATCAAACTCAGACAATTATTAAGCTGGGATGTGATGCATTAAATTAGGAGCTTTGTAGCAAGAGGAGAAGAGGGGATGAAGATGAAGTGTATTCAGGGAGGTTATAGATTTAAGATTTAAACAGTTTGTATATTTAGCTACATGTTTATATACGAGTAAAGGTTTATTTATATATAGTATTTAATTATACATCACTCAAATATCTACCCATTTTGCGTCTTGCATATAATACCATATATACACATTGTATCAGATCAGAAATAGCGCCACCACCCAGCCAATCCATCCCATTTCCCACTCCCCATCCCCAAACGTCATTAGCCACCAATTATCATCTCTCTCTCTCTCTAGCTCTAGCTCTTCCCCTCCTTCCTCATATTCCTCTTCCCAATTACAAAGTTTTAATACTTTTAAAAAACGGATTCTGCAACAACCTCTCATCACCCCCCACCAACTCCCTCAACAAAGCAATCTTTTCCTCCTTCCCCATTTCCTCCCCCTTACTATCAATCTCCGCCTTCCACTTCTTCAACATTTCCTTCAACAAGCGACTCCCCTTCTCCACATCCTCCTTCCCATACTCCTGCGAGCCCGCCGTAGACATCGGATCACCATTATCGACCTTCTCACCCTCACCGCCTTTTCCACTCGCCCCAAAATCCTCGAGTTCCTCCGCCTTTCGCCTTGCCATCTCTATAACCTTTGCTGGGAACTTAACCAATTCCGCCACATGGATTCCGAAACTTTGGTCACAGATTCCTTCTTCGACTTTATACAGCAGGGTGACTTCTCGTTTCTTTTCTTGCGCCGACGCATCGGTATCGATGTGCGCCACCACGTGTAGATTTTTGACTTGGGGAAAAGTATCCACTAGCGCCGTCAATTCATGGAAATGCGTCGCAAACATAGTAAATGCTCCAATTTCCCGGATAATGTATTCGGAAATGGCCCAGGCGAGGCCAAATCCATCATAAGTACTAGTGCCTCGACCCAATTCATCGATAATGATGAGAGATTCCGAGGTGGCGGATTTGAGTATATTAGCCGTCTCCAGCATTTCCGCCATAAAAGTAGATACGCCTTTGAGTTGTGAATCCGATGCTCCCACTCGCGCTAGTATACAATCAAATATCGTAAGTTCGGCTTCGGAACAAGGGACGAAACAGCCAATTTGAGCCATGAGTGCTATGACGCCAATTTGTCGGATATAGGTAGACTTGCCGCCCATGTTTGGACCGGTTATTAGAAGGAAGGAGGATTCATCACGGACGAGAGAGACATCGTTGGTGATGAATTGAATATCATCTTGCATTTCCATACAAGGATGACGGGCTTCTTTAAGGATTGTGGAACCTGTGCCACGAGGATGCATTTTAGGACGGATATAAGATGTAGGGGCGTGAACAGAGGTATGAGCGAGAGAGATGATGACGTCTAAGTGAGCGAGGATGGAAGCGAGGGATTCAATGACTGGGCAATAGGAGGCAGCTACTCCAACAACTTCGCTGACCAGGCTAGTTTGAGTGCGGTTATAATTTTCGGAGAGTTGATCGAATTCGCGGCGAAGAGACAGAAGTTTGGAGGTGGTGAAGAAGACTCCGCTTTTTAAGGTTTGACATTCTTGATATTTGGTCTTGTTACGGATACAGGAGGCTTCGGTTCGTGTGAGTCGCATGCACCAGCCGTGAATCTTGTTGTTTTCTAGGAAGATTTTCTTCTCAATTTCTTGGCTGAGATCTTTGGCTACTACACGGAACTCTTGATCCATCTCATACTTGAGTTTGTCTAATTTTCGCCTAATCATTTGGAGACCTTCGTCGAATTCAGGTTTGATGATATATTCATGGTTATCCATGGCGTCAAGGTCGACAGTAGTCTCGACCATTTCTGCCAACTTTCCAAGACTATCGTTGCATTCTCGAAGCTTAGTTGTGTACGACTGATCGAGAGCATCGCGATACGTTTCATCCATAACACTTTCGAGAGTATTAATGAAACCGGGTATTCTGATAACAACTTGATATGCTCGGACAACATCTTCGAGGTTCGCCAATTTCTTTTGAAATCTTTTAGCCAATCGATATAAATCGGGTATCGATTTCATATGTTGTTCTTGTATGGTTTGCCTCAATTCCGTATCTTCGACAAACGCCTCGACTAGCTGTTGTCTTTTTTCGATCTCCTCCAAACTCATCAAAGGTTGTTTCAACCATTGTGCCAAAAGCCTACTTCCAACTGGTGTCTTGCAGTGATTGAGTAGACCATAAAGAGACATAGTCTTCGATCCATCCCTCGGTCCAGGCATAAGGTTTAGTGCTTTCAGCGCAGAGGCATCCAACTTCATGAATTGTGAAAGATCGTGTTGGTATAATTGGTACTGCCCGAAATTCGATGAATCATGTAGCACACCCAAATAATTGATAAGCGCCGCCGCTGAGCCCATAGCAAGCTTAAGATCTGTTTGTGGGAGGACTCCTGTAGATTTCTCATCCTTCAAAAGTCTCGCAAGGTCTTGTTCGATATCCCTGGTCCCAAAGGTACCTCCTGCTCGTTCTGTCCAGGAACAACCACAGCTTTCGATAATTTGCTTGAGTTTTGCCAATTCCACATCTTTTGTGGTTCTGTCTACTTGTATCAGACATTCCTTTACTCCCAGTTGAATAAGTAGAGATTCGAAGTTTGAATATAGATCATTGTCGAGAAATTCGCTAACTCCTAATTCCCGAACGCTTGCATCTGCGAAACACACACCAATATTTCTTGCTTCTGATGCCTTTGCAGTGATCTTGACAGCGAGAATAATCGGTGCAGCATCAAATGATCCTCCTAGCTCTTCCTCGACATCCTGTAGATTTCCTGGAGATGCGGTTTTTGTGACTTTCCAATTATTCTTTCCGGAAGTCGTGAATATTTCCACTCTCTTACCCATTCGATAAAGTGCTTCTCGTAGAAAGTTCTTGTATACTGTTATGGTCATCGTAACTGAAGGAATCTTTGTGGAACTACTGCCTAGATCTCGTAGAACCGAAGTAGTTTTGTAGACCTGGAAAGTTAATATATGTATACTTCCGTTTGCCAAAGATACATACAGTGCGAGCAATGAACGACGCATCGTCTCCATGAGCAGTGTAAAAGTCTCCTCTATCGAAGACTCTCAGAGTTTCCCCATCCCTTGAAGGTAGATTCTTGAAAAACTTAATGAATCCAAGTTCATCGTCAACCTAAAAGATAACATCAGTAAAAGGACTGAAGAGGATGCTTCAACAGCTCTAATGCGTGGCGTACCTTGAGCTCTGGACGAGAAGACATTTTGGTAGATTTTCTGAGAAGTAAATTAAAAAGGAAGAACACCAGAGAATCCTAAATTTAAGAAGATAAATCTCAAATCATCAAAGTCAACTTTTGATCAAATTACACAATAATTTCAAGAGTAAGTAGAGGAGACGCGACGGGCGCCACGCTAATTCAGCAACCACGCGTTCTGCCAAAGCGGTGAAAGAAATCAATTTATCTCTCAGCTATAACGAAATTGGGAGCTACAAGGTATTCTATCACACCAAATACCCAATACTGACTCAAAATGTCCGACAGCGATGAACGACCATCAAAAATCCGCAAAGTCGGTCCTTTCAACGAAACCTCAGCTACTGGCGATATGAATGCCCCCAATTCCAATTCCAACGAGACAACGACAGAGTCTAAAACTCCCACCACCATCCTCGATACCCCCACCAATCCCGACTCCAACACCCCCCAATCCACCACCATCAACGGGCAAAAGCAACCCAACCCCTTCTCCAAAGCCCAAATCAAGAAGCGTCGAAAGCAAGAACAATGGGAAGCCAACAAACCGCAACGCGCCGAATTCCGACGAACCAAACGCAAAGAAAAGCAAGCACGCAAAGCCGCTGCGCATGCATCCGGGCTCCTACCACCACCACCTCCCTCTTCATCTCGACGTCCTATCCAAGTGCCCGTCTCTTTCCTCATCGATTGTGATTTTGAATCCTACATGATGGAAAAAGAACTCATATCGATGACGGCGCAAGTAACGCGATGCTATAGTGATAATCGGTCTGCGGTTTACAGGGGACATATGGGAATAGCGAAGTGGGGAGGAAAGATGAAGGAGAGGTTTGAGGGGGTGTTGGCAGGGAACTTTCATAGTTGGAAGGGGGTGAGGTTTTTGGAGGAGGGGTGGGTGGAGGCTGCGGGGATCTTGGATGGGATTATGAGGGGAGCTGAGGGGGGAAAGTTAATGGGGGCTTTGGCTACGCAAAATGGACTTGAGGAATGGAAGAAGCCGACTAGAGAGTCAAAGAAGGTAGAAGAATCAACGGCAGAACCAAATGAATTAGCGCAGCCGGAAACCCAAGAAGATCAAGAACCATCAGAATCCATTACCGCACCCTCAGAAACCCCAGAACCATCAGAACCCAATCCCTCCGCCCCCTCACCCACCACCGTTCCTACCCCCACCCCCACCCCCAAAATAATCTACCTCACCTCCGACTCTGAACACACCCTCAGCACCCTCACCCCCAACACAACCTACATAATCGGCGGCATCGTCGACAAAAACCGACACAAAGGACTCTGCTACCGCCGCGCCTGCGAAGCCGGTATCCCCACCGCCAAACTACCCATTGGAGAGTACCTCACTATGCAGAGTCGGACTGTGTTGACCGTGAATCACGTTATGGAGATAATGATCCGGTGGTTAGAGACCGGGGATTGGGGCGAGGCATTCTTGAAGGTGATTCCCAAGCGGAAAGAGGCGAAGTTGAAGCGGGAGGGGAAAGAGGGTGAAGAAGAAGCTGGCGAGGGGGGAGAAAATGATGGGGAGAATGAAGATGAAGGGGAGGAAGGTGATGAGCAAAATGAGAGTGAGAATGAGAATGAGAATGAAAAGAGTGGAGACGAGAGTGAAGATGGCGAGGAAGGTGGAGTTTCTCTTGAAGCTGAAAAACAGGCAGAGGAGCTAGCAAAGTGCAGGAAATGATACCACAATGGCAGACGCAAAATGAGCAATATGTAGAAATAGTGGCAACTAATCAAAACCCGGGTATAATTTTCCAGTATCCTCACAGAAACTATGATCCACCACACCTTAACGCCTCTCTCAAATAATCTTCTTTCATCTCCCCGTATCCTTCGACTTCGAACTTGTGAGTTCGTAGCGCCTTTCTTTTCCCATTCTTTCACATCATCCTCGACGTATCTGGAACCCATAATAACCCTTTTTTCTAGACCTCCGCAGCCCATACATCTGAATAGTACGTTCCTTTGTAAGAATATTTCCATGCCACCTTTGCACTTCTTTCTCTCCCAGTACATCTCACCACCCTAATCCTAACCTTTCCTCCCCGTCCCCCTAACATATTCCTCCGCCCTCCCAACCCTCTCCCTCCTCGCCCCCACCTCCGGCAACCCTCTCTTCAACCCCTGCAATCCAGTAATCCCCCTCTCCCAATCGCCCTCTACCTGCACTTGCCTCTCATTCCACTGCAACCCCAGATCTAACCCCCCACCATCATCATCATCATCATCCTCCCCCAATTTCTCCCTCCACCCCTCTATCTCCATCTCCTCCCCCTCTACCCCCCTCTTCCACCCCCCTTCCCTCTCAACCACCACTCCCGGCACATTCCTCCTCAGCGCCGCCACCTGCTCCACCAATTCCTCCTCCCGAATCGCTAGTGCCTTTGCTTTCTCCCACAATTGTCCATCGAACGGCTCATGTTCTTCGCGTTCCTCTATTATATCTTTTTCGGTATGGGTCTGATCGAGAAGTTTGCGCGGGGGCGACATACCGTTTATGGAGATGCTGGGGGAGGCAGTGTTGAAGGTTTTCTGTATATACTATTTATTCGTGATATCTGTAAGCCAATGCGCCATCCCAAAACTCCACATCAGGAAGAGAATACAGCAATGAAGCGAAAAAGGTGAGCCCATCAAACCCATCAAGCAAATGCCCCAACTCCAAAGAAAGTTACAAGATCAAACAAACCTCAGAAACAATCTCTTCCACCAAAGTCCTCATCGCATCCTCCCCCTCAATCGGCGGTAAATCCCTATCGATCATTTCCTTCGCCACGCGCTTCACATTTACAACGAGATACTGAAGATCATCTGGTGATTGGAGTTCGATTTTTCGCTGTTGTTCTGCCATTTCTTTTTTCCTTTCCTTTCTCTTCTCTCCTTCTCTATTGATATGTTGTTGTGCTCACTGCCTTTCCCTTCCCTTCCTATCGCAAAAGCTAGTAAGGTTAATTGTACCGTTATCGTTCGTGTAGAAAACAAAACAAAATCAACCAAGTCCCTCAATCAAGAAACCTATTTGGTGTACTGTACAAAAGTATGTATAAATTCCAAAGCTGGTCAATACGTAGGTAGGGTAGGTTGGTGATCAGAGAATAGCTTTGCGCACGCCGAGTCTATGTGTTCAATTATCATTGTTTCGATTTTACTTCCAGAACATTGTTTACATTCGGATGTGATGTCGGCAACCTTCTAGTACCGCAGAGCTGTTGAAAGATCTGTGCGCAACATCGATTAGTAATCAAATTTCTAACTTTATGATAAGGTAGCAAGCTCCCTAACCTGAGGCGGAGGTCTCATCACTCCTACAAACCATCTATCCATCTATCTATCATCCAGCCACTTTCCCCTCTTCCTTTCCTTTTTATAAATCCGTCGGATATCAAACAATAATTAATAATAATAATCAAAATACTTGATAACCTGGGTAAACCACAACTGTCTCCTACAAACCATACTATACCAGCAGACTTCCTTTCCTCTCTCTCTCTCTTTCTCTTCTCCCCCCCTTTCCACCCTTCCCCTCTTCTAAACCTCATCAAAAACAACCCCGCGCTTCGAATTCATGTCCGCCCCGCGCACATACCACACCACCACCACAAACCCACCCACCTCTTTGAGAACAAAAAGTTTATTTACCTACCTACCCACGGTAACCTTTGAAGTCTAATTGTTCAACATCACGCTATGCCCCATTTGATTCGCTTTATTTGATTCGCTTTATTTCATAAGTCAAATAGATTGAGATTGAGTCACTAGATACTTATCCTATACCTATACTCGTAATTCCATCCACCAGCACATCATCCCCATTCGTCCTGATAAATAAGATACCTAGGTGTATACAGGCCACAGGCTACAGCCGTGTGTAGATAAAACAAACAGAACAAAAACGAAAACCTTTGAATCATGAATCATGAATCAATTAACCAATTAGTCAATTATTCGACTGGTCAATGTTTATTATGTTCATGAAGATCCAGAGTGAGCAACAAACAGATGAAACCGAGGTTTCGAGAACGCTTGGATGATTACTACCTATCCACTAACACTATACCACACATGGTGAAACTTGCGGAACCCTAACCAAACCCAGAACACATATGTTTCAAGACTGAATCATTGCTCGAAATACTCCATGGATAACAATTTACAATGCGTCATTGCTCAGGAACATCTGATCGTGTGAATCTTTCGTGAAGTTTGGCGTTAGGATATATCCTTGCAGACGTGATATTCATATGTGCTATGTCTGGTAGTGAGTCTCGAAACCCAAGAGAAGATTAATGAGACGTCTAGAAACTCTATATGGTAAGCGAGCCAATCTTAGAATGTCATGAGTTGTCTCCGATCACTCTGGCTACTATTATATCCGAATCCAACGTTTCCAGCAAGATTGAGGCTTAGAATGGACCGACATCGTGCACGGAGATGGCTCGAATGGTTTGGCCACCGCAATACTGGTACCTGCCATTCATAAGTTGTTGTGAAGCCCCTGCCTTTTATAAGAAATCGATTAAGCTTTTGAATTCGACTTGGATTCAGGACTCATTGAACGTATCAACACTAAAAAGCTATAACAAATCGACAAGATGGTAAATACCGGTAGACCATCGAGAGGATGTTATCTCTGCAGATCTCGGCGCGTCAAGGTTAGAGAACATTCGAGATATAACATAATTGAAGTACTAATGTATAATTAGTGTGATGAGAAAAAGCCAGGCTGTGGTAATTGCCAAAGAATGAAGCGCCAATGTCCGGGATATCGACCATTTTTTGATGTTATGCATCATAATGAGACGAATTCCACACAACACAACACTTCCCCTACAATTACAAACACAGCAGCGCTTTATAAACAGAAATCCTGCCCCAACACTCGGGACTTGGTAGAGGCAATAAGCAACGGAACACATTCGATTCACCCACCTTTAACAGCAGCATTGGAGGAACGCGCAATTTGTTTCTTCCTTGCAAATTATGTTTTGATCCCTCATGGCCCAGTAAAACATGGCTTTCTTGCATTTCTACTCCCATTAATAAAACTTCAACCTTCGGCCATGTTATCAGATTCTCTATCTGCAATATCGCTGGCTACCTTTGGAAATCAACCAAACGCGAAGACATTAAAACCAAAGGCCGAGCAGGCTTACTCGAAAGCCTTGCGTCAAGTCACTAATGCTATCAGCGATCCCAAACAAGCGGCCGAGGATACTACACTTGCAGCGGTTTTGCTGCTTTGCTTATTTGAGGTCAGAATCTCTCAAGCTTTTTCGACGTGATCGTTGCTGACAGTGTGTAGAATATATCAGATATTCTGATGAAAGAGAATCAGGGGTGGAACTCCTGGAACTCTCATATGACTGGTGCCATAGCGCTGCTGAAAATGCGCAATCCAAGAGGCCCAATGTCTACAATGACTTTGGAATTAGTTTGGGGCATAAAGAGACACGTGGTACGTCTGCACCCTCGATTCGAGCTTTCGTCATTCATTGGCACAGATAACTAATTATTGCCAACAGTCCCTCAGCTGCCTGTTCAACGGAAAACTGCTTGACTTTCCACAGGAGTGGAATACAGTTCTTGAAGACTCAAAAGTTGAGCCTAAGGGAGGTCCAGCTATATGTAACCAACTTCAGGCCAAAGTTGCAAAAGCTCGTGTCGATTGTGATGAGCTTATGACCAGTGCGCGACGAACGCCTCAAGACATCGAAAAGGTCCTGAATTTGATGAAAAGAGCCGAAGCTATAGAACAGGGCTACTTGGGTTGGGCAGAAGCAATGCCAGCTGGTTTTCAATACAAATCCATAGGATGGATCGATGCTATACCAGAAGAGAAATTAGCTGGATCGAAATATTTTCCAGGCAAGATTGACAAGTACAATGAAGTTTGGACAGCCCATATCTGGAATATGTCCCGAGGATCACGATTGATCAATCATAGCACGATCGTCCGATGCGCTGCATGGTTGTGCTCACCACAGGACTATCGAACTACCGTAGAGTATGAGAAAGCTATGATAGCTGGCAAAGAAATGATTCGGGACGTTATTGCCAGCGTGCCCAATTGCCTCAGCGAGATACCCACAGCTATGGATGAGCCAAGCCCTTCTCAATACAGTTTCGCATGCGGAGAACAACGCAGCACCCATGCGAAAGGGCTGTCTGCATTCAGCATGTTGTGGCCCTTATTCTGCGTCATTACGTCAGACTTTGTTACCGAGGCGCAGAGAGCGTGGACCCTGGGAAGAATCAAATATGCGACAGAGGAATTGGGCGTTATCCAAGGATCTACCATGTATACTATGGTATGTGCCATGTGGTGACTGTATTCCATAAGCGGATTTGCTAATAAGAATTGCAGCAAACCTTATCTGTACGAGTTCCATCTTCAATGTTAGAAAAAGACGGCCGAATAATACCTTCGAAAATCGACAATATGTTGAGCCAGCAAATACCCGTCCAACAAACCTTTCCAGTTGAAGAAACATGGACCAACGATGTTTTTCATCATTCAACCTCTAGCCCAACATCAACATCTTCCCACGAGGTGAAACAGCAGTTTTCACCCGGGCCCCAATACGATTGGACTTTATTAAATCCTAGCACTCTCGATCTAAATATGATCAATAATTGGTCCCATCAAACGCAACCTAATTGGCCTCGTCCAAACTCGGGTGCCAAATTCATCACCTCGGCAGGGCCAACTCAACAAACGTTGGCAAGTATGAGTTCTCATTCAGATTACCCAGGCGAACCTCAACCAGGAAACAGGAACCACGACTGGCTGGCTGACATGTTAACATGTTGACATGTTGACAGCAACTTGTATCAAAAGAGAAGCAACAAAAAATGGGATGAAACGAAGTAAATGTGATGCGATGAATTTATGATTGATGTTTTGAGATTGATATGACTTGGGAAGAAGTCAATGTTTACAATTTTGTTTTTTATTTTTAACCGGATCTGCGCTTATCTACTCTTTATCTAGCGGGAGGGAGGACAGGGGTCTTGGCGAGATTTTCCGGGGAACAAACTGGAGTTGCAGTGGCAAGGTTATTTGTGGATACTTTTTCTAAGGAAGAGGAAGAGACAGCCATTCTTATAATTATATAATTATACAATTATACTAGAGTATTGTACAATGTACTATATATTGGTAATGACATTCAGTTACTTTAATGAGAAACAAATATCGTTCAATAATAGCATTCTTATTATTACACTCGAGTATTGTACTGTACAGACAGTATCTTGGTCATGTAACTCGGTCACATTAATGAGAAATAAACATTATTCAACATCCCGAATTCATTTTTGCTATACTCGAGTAGCCACCAAGATCTGATCTATCTTTGGAGAAAACTATATAAAACCGCCGTATTAAATTTAAATGATTGGCATTAACCTTAAATCCCCAAATCCTATTTCAACAAGCAAGAAAAACCCCAGATTCTAATCACAATCCCAATCACAATCCCAACTCCCTTCATCTCTACCAGTCTGGTACTCGTATATTCCAAATGTGAACTTAGACGAGATGCCCCCCTGAACTATTATATATATAATCAATGGTTTAAGTGCAAGTGCAAGTGCAAGCTACAAGGTAACGATATATATATATATATATAGATAGCTAAAATACCTATGACCCTATAACCCCCCTGTCCCTCTCCTCCCCCAAAAAACACTAGAGTAGATGAGTAGTACAGTAATCTTACTCATACAGCCAACTAACTCTCACTAACCTCAACCCACTTCAAAGAGAAATACCAGTCAGTACCAGTAACTTTAATTTAAATTCCAATTTCATTAGAGATTAATGGCAACCATATCTAAAATACATTGAATGAGTAATAAGCATTGTAATTCGGTCGGCTATAGTTGAACGTAGTCGTGCCACTACATTTAAATGCCACAACATCCTATGGTCGGCCTTTATGAGGCTGAGTTCGTTATTCTCCCTCACACGCCACCACAAAAAGAATTTGTCTGGGAATTTAGGAGCAAGTATGTATGAAATACACATTTTGAAGTAGAGAAGAAATCGCATTGGCTGAGAAATCTGTTGTGAAGAGAGAGACTGCCTAGTCCAATACCTATACCCAAATGGCCCCCTATCCCAAAAAACTATGGTCCAAACTCCTCATGTCTCCAAACAAAACCAGATACCACCCAGTTCATTCCTAACAAATGTATGCCATTCGCAATCGCTGACCAGGCTACCTACAATAAAACGCACTCCTTTATCCGTAAAATAGCAATAATATGTCCAGATCCGCAGCGCCAGGAATGTGCAAACCCTCCCTTCCCCCTTCAATGTATATCAATTTGCGCCAACCTGGTATCTGATACATGTCTATTGGGGAAACATTTGTTTGATTTCCTCGTCGCTCAATCGGATCTCATGGACAGGTTCGCGCTTTCGTTCGAAGGATTCAAAATCAGATTCCATATAGGATGGGAGGAAGATTTCTACAATGTATTTATTAGCATAACAGAAAGAAAGAATGTATATGACTATCTTACCTGGGTTCCAGTCAAAGCCTTGTGAAGAACGAACGCAGGTGATCTAAAAAGTAGGAATTTATTAGCATGTGTTGAAGGATCGTCGAGTTCCCCACGAGTGGGGTTACTTACAAGGCGTGGAGTGCCATCAGGATCACCAATATTGATCGTAGTATGTTCTTCCTTTGCAAGTGCTGTGCCTAAAATAGATTTATTAGTTATGCCCTTTGACATCTGAGATGAGAGTAATGATTCCGGTCAAGCTTCAATAACAGCCTACCAGGCTGCTACTTCTATAACACGGGAACAAGCTCGTAAGCACAAAGAAAGTTTAGAACTTACTCAAAAGACTTCTTCTCCGATCATGTCCATATCGAGGCTTTGAGGAAGTAGAAGTTGATGAAGATGAGGGTGATTGTTGTGATGCTGTGGGGGAGCTTGAGTATGATGATGAACTGCTTGGGCTCGCAGTGGTAGCAGCAGCCTTATTGGCATTTCTACCAGTCGGAATCGTGATAGATGACGACATGGTTGAAGAGTTGAAAGTTTGAAGTTTGAAAGTCGATAGTTGATAGTTGATGGATGTGGTAATGTAATGATAAAGAAAAGTTGAAGTTGTTGATCAGGAGGAGTACTAGGTTCCAGAAGAACTCTTAAAGATTGATTTCGAAAGTGTTGGTATATTATTATGAACTGTTCTGAGTGAATGAAAGTGGTTGAAGAGAGCCTGATGAGATAACTAGGTAGTTGACTTATCGGCATGAGTAACCCCACCGTATTTAATGGAGTGGCCGATGGTGACCCGCTAGTGTAGATCTAGGCTATTAAAGGTAAGGTGGGTATAAATGGTTTGTTTGCCTTAAATTTATTGCCTTATAGTTTAGGCAAATAAGTGTTGTTCTTATGTCTGTTGTGCCTAAGGCTTTAATTACCTAAGCATGATTAACATTCGAACTCCGAGCCCATGAGCTTCAGCTAGGTTAACAATAAACGCGCGCCTTTTTGATTACCTAGAACCAAATCGAAATAACAACACCATCATCATATTCATCCACATCTCACAACTACCATACATCCCACATTCAAACAAAACTAGCAGATCTTAAGTATGGGTGACGTTTTACTAGAAAACCCTGCGACTCAGGTCTTGCCTCACCGAAAACCATTGCCATCCTCGATACCAAACATTGATTCGCTGGAGGGATTAGGAACAGATGGAAGTGATGAGTACTCAACATTGAAGAAGCTTCAACGGCACTTGGAGTTAGTATACCATTGGATAGATCTACAGGATCAAAATGCTAACTGGAAGTCACAGATATATCCAACTCCAGGAAGAATATATCAAGGATGAACAACGGTATGCGATCTGAGCTTCATCTACTGCATGCACAAATACTTATCATCATTACCTTAACAGAAGCTTGAAGAGAGAACTTGTGCGGGCTCAAGAAGAAATCAAACGTATTCAAAGTGTACCTTTGGTGATAGGACAGTTTATGGAAGCTATTGATCAAAAGTACAACTCACTCTTAGTTTCTGCAATACAATTAACAATACTAACATAATCAAAACAGTACTGGTATTGTACAATCATCAACAGGGTCCAACTATGTTGTTCGAATTCTCTCCACCCTCGATCGCGAACTTTTGAAACCATCATCCTCTGTTGCTCTCCACAGACACTCAAATTCCTTGGTCGATATCTTACCCCCCGAGGCCGATTCATCGATCGCTATGTTAGGAGCCGATGAGAAACCCGATGTTACATATGCAGATGTTGGAGGACTTGATATGCAAAAGCAAGAGATTAGAGAAGCCGTCGAACTTCCTTTGACACATTTCGAACTATACAAGCAAATTGGTATCGATCCACCACGAGGTGTTTTACTTTATGGCCCACCCGGAACTGGAAAGACTATGCTTGTAAAGGCAGTAGCAAATTCAACAACTGCAAACTTCATCCGTGTCGTTGGATCGGAATTCGTACAAAAGTATCTTGGAGAGGGTCCACGTATGGTCCGTGATGTGTTCCGCATGGCCCGTGAAAACTCCCCAGCTATCATTTTCATCGATGAAATCGATGCCATCGCCACGAAACGTTTTGATGCACAAACGGGTGCCGACAGAGAGGTTCAACGTATCCTCCTTGAACTTCTGAATCAAATGGATGGTTTCGATCAAACATCTAATGTTAAGGTCATTATGGCTACCAACCGTGCCGATACTCTCGATCCTGCGTTACTTCGTCCTGGACGATTGGACAGAAAGATTGAGTTTCCCAACCTTCGCGATCGCAGAGAGAGACGATTGATTTTCACTACAATTGCATCAAGAATGTCATTGTCACCAGAAGTTGATCTTGACAGTTTAATCATCCGAAATGATCCATTATCTGGTGCTATTATTGCAGCTATCATGCAAGAAGCTGGTTTGAGAGCAGTAAGGAAGAATAGATACAACATTATTCAATCTGATCTTGAAGATGCCTATTCTAGTCAAGTCAAGGGTGCACAAGAGGTATGCATAGAGCTGAATACTCGAGCAGTTATGAATCTCTCACTTGAACACATACTAACATTTCTCAGGCCGACAAATTCGACTTTTACAAATAGAGAGTTCATACTTGCGACAAGGATAATGGGAAAGGAAGGTTGCATTGGAGCGAGGTGGAAGATGAAGATAACCTTGAAATGCGACATTTCTGACAAGTATCAGAGGGATCATTCTAGGTTTTTGCAATTGTACCAACATACCAAACATAACGTCTGTATTCATAGACTCTGCGCTGAATGCAGGGAATCTTATACAAAGTTCTAAACTCATGCCTTTTTGACATGGAATTTTACTTTCATATCTCGGGTTCTTGAAACTCGGGATCTCGAGTGATTATGTTGTGATCTAAATGGTGTAAGGTATGCGATGACACGTTACGTTGCGTTACGTAGCAAACTATAAAATATGAAATATATTATATCGCGAACATCAGGAACGACTCTAGATTAGATAGAGATTATATTATAAATAGGGGACCTCAAGGATGGGTATCAGACTGAACAATAAATTTTCAGATAGATAGATAGATCTGTCCTCTTAGTGGAGACTTAGTATGAACACTGGAATGAACATACTTGGTTGGTTGGGTGGTTGGTTGATTAGTTAGTTAGTTAGTTCGTTAGTTGCTTGGTTAAGATAGAATCCATGGAGTACGAGTAGTGTGGATGTAGCTCAGTAGTGAAGTAGTGAAGTAGCTTATTCTACATTGGTAATTTCTGGTTTGGTTATGCTGTGTTGGGTTGGGTTATATTAGAGTATGTATATTAGGTCAGATTGGGTTAGGGAAGGGTATGTTAGGGTATTTAAGGTTGAGTAAGATTGGTTAGGGAGAAAGGGAAATGTGGATTGGGAGAAATTGATGTTTGATATGTATAATGTGTATGATATACGATCAAGGGGATGAGAGTTATCTTTTTTGATGGGTGGTGATTGGGTTATAATTGTGGTTGGGGGTTGTGTTTGGGGGTTGTGGTTGTGGTTGTGGGTGTAGTTGATGGGGTAAGGGTAATATATACTATTACTGTACGAGTACTGATTGTTGTGTTAACTTGGGTAGGTAATAAATAGTAAGTGGGTGAGTGGGTGAGTGAGTGGGTGGGTAAGTAGGTGGTCGGGATGAGATGAGATGAGAGACTATTCTGACCTGAAGTTTGATGATGAATGGATTCTGGTATGGGATGGGGTGGGATATTGGGATGTTGGGATGTTTAGTGATGGTGATGGTGATGATAGTGGTGGTGATGATGATGGTGAAGTTGGTGTTGTTATTGTTATTATTGATTGCAATATTCAATAGTGTTGTTTGTTGGTATTAGTATCATCATTATCACCATCACCATCTTCACTCCCCTAGAGCCTCCCCCCCTCTCCTCTCTCTCCTTTTACATTGCCTTTTACATTGCCTTTCCCCTTCCTCTTCCACATATAGTTCTTTTTTATCCAATCCATCCCCATCCCCATCTCCACCCCTCATACATTCTCTCCTCATACATTCCATTCCATTCGCCTACAGCCTGCACCGATACCAGCTAGCTATTCCAATTCAACCTCATGAGTTTCGAGGGTTTTCCTTAATGCTTTATTTATATATCCCTGCTAACAGACCATTTATGTGCTCTGAATCGGGGGGTATGATGGGTTGGTTTATGTATGATGGAAGTATATTAATTACGAGTAGTCACGGTGGATATTTAGTTAGGGCTGGAGATATAGTTAGGGCTGGAGATGGAAGTTTAAGTTTTATGAGTAGGTACTATTATATTGGATGGATGTTACTATTCATTTCATATTATCCCAGACCGGTTGTACCGAGTAGTTTAGTAGTTTAGTAGTTTAGTAGACTATATCACTATTTTCGATAATAATATAATACCTAAGTAGGTAGATTGGTTGGTTGAGTGAGTTAGTTAGTAATTTAGTGACCTGTAATACTTTACTCGAGTAGAAAATCTTCGATTATAAGATAAGAAGGAAAGTACCGGTAGGAAATCGAAATCGAATTTGTGGGCAGTGTTTTTGTACTCGAAGTATTACGAGTACTTGGTTTGATGATCTGAGATGAGCTTAGAGTGGTTAATCTGGGTAGTTCTCTCTCTCTCTCTCTCTCTCTCTCTCTCTCTCTCTCTCTCTCTCTCTTAACAGGTCTGAGGAATCTCTTGGAAGTTGGGGCAAAGGGGGGGCCTCGGCTCTAGCTTCGCTTTGTGAATCATATATATACAAGTAGTATTGTTGGATTATATTATGTTTTCTGTAAAATATTTATATCCAGAATAACACTCGAGTAGATGTTTCTAAACAGCCTACTGCAATCTCAAAGTTACGATTCGTCCTATTTACAGAACTACACAAATTCGTTAGTGCACGCACCTCAAGATTTTATGAATATGTAGGTGAATACTGTGTGTAGATAGTTTTATTTTGTTTCAATGCTTCTTGACATATCGGAAGATACAAGATTCAAAGACACGACGTCTATCTGGTCGTTACGTTATATCAATGCTATGCTATCGAAGCATACTGAGTATATATTAGCGATTCTCGGAATGCGATACGTATCAATATTATCCTCCACCGCTCCAGTGCTCCAGTGACTAGATTAGTAGTCCAATCAATGGAAAGAAATAGCCAGCAAACAGTGTACTTCAGATATCCAACTGCAGATAAAACGAGAGCTAGGATGTATAGATTTCCACTTAAATAACCCTCATCTTTGCCATCTAAAGCCATTCAGCTTCCCGAGGTTGTAGAAAACGATACGCCTAAACCGATGCCTCTGCCCCTGCTTTGGCTGTTAGAACTACTGCCACTCAATTTTCATTTCTATTTTTGTCTGCATATCAAAATCAAGTCATGTGGTATTTCCTATAAAACGACAATGCGAAGAGTTGATCTGATGATGATATTGAGATGGGATTGTGGCGGCAGCAATATATCGAGCTCTGTCGATTATTACATGTGGTAATACGTATTCGA